TCTTACATCTTCACTAAAATTTTATTTAAACATGTTAGCAAAGCTTATTTTAGCCAATTTACGTCAAAAAAATTCGAAAAACTTTAAAAATAACTATTATGACAATTGTCTTTTATCTAGGGTACATCTACATTAAATTTTACCTGTTAAAGAAACATATTTTTACCCATTAGCGTCACAAAAAAATCTTATATGTTCAAAAATACCTACCTATTATGATAATTATCATTTTTCCAGGGAACATCTTCATTGAATTTATAATATAATATCTTTACAATATAAATTATATTATAACCCTTTTGTGTCCAAAAATTTCAAAAATCTTAAAAAATAACGCATATGACAATTGTCGCATTAAAAAAAGTTTGACATAAATATTAATAAAAAAATAATTTAGAAAAACCACCTCTTTTAATATACTTAAAATATAGATATATTTATAAAAAAAATTATTTAGAAAAAGAAAAACCAGTATATATTCTTAAAATATAGATATATTAATAAAAAAATTATTTAGAAAAACCACCTCTTATAATAAAATAAACTTAAAATATAGATATATTTATAAAAATAATATAAAAAAACTATAGAAGATTTGACCTAAAAGATTATTTATTTATGATAAAATTAACAAAAGTATTTCTTAAAAAAGTTAAAAATTTATTAAAAAAATCAACAAAATATGTTTCAATATTTTTGTTCAAAAATTATTTTTTGCTTAAAATTTTTAGCTCGAAAATATGAATTTTTTTTTATTTAAAAAAAATCAAATAAATAAATCCATTTTTATTATAAGATCAAAACATATTTGAAATAAAATTTAAAAAAATTTTTTGTTTGCTAATAATAAAATATTAACATTAAATATAAATAAAATAAATTATTTCACTAAAAATAAATAAATAAAATTCTACATTATTATTTAAAATATCTAATAACATAAAAATAAATTTTGACTCTAAATTTAAATTAAACTCAAGCTAACCTCTGAGTCCACTAAGTGAGCCGACTAAGCGAGCCGACTAAGCGAGCCGACTAAGTGAGCCGACTAAGCGAGCCGACTAAGCGAGCCGACTAAGTGAGCCGACTAAATGAGTCGACTAATGCGGCTCATTTAGTCGACTCGAGTCTGAGCCGTTTTATCGACTAGAAACTAGGCTCGAGTCGTAGCTAAGTCGACTCGGCTTAGCCGTTTAACAACACTAGATGGCGGGTAATAGGAACATATCGCAACCAACATTGTGCTGACTCAATTCTCTAAATACACTCTGTCTGATTTTTCCAAATTCACTGAGGCATTATCAGATCAGAAAGCTGACATGCAATTTATTGATAATGCCGAATCTGCTATATTTACCATTATATGGTTAACTATGTCTTTAGATTTTTCACTATTTAAGTGGAAAAAATTTAATAGTTTTCTTGAAACGTCCTTAATTTTGTTGAAATAGCGGAGGATCAAGGGGAATATTTAAATATTTCTTTAGATGTGCCTATCTTTCAAACCGTCAAGAATTGACCTCTTGAATTCAGGTTCTAAAATATTGATGATATCCTTGCTAAACCTTATTACGTATTTAAACGTGATACGTGATAATTAAGCGCCTATTCCTATAATGTTATACACACATACAAGGTAGATTTCCAATTGCGGATGTTTTGCGGGACATTAGCATAAAATATATTTTTTACATTGTAAAATTAAAATCGTTTGTTTTTTTTATAAAATTTTATCTTGTTTACATTATTTTATATTTAAAAAGGATCGTTGGTTTTATTATAAATTAATATATTTTAATAAATCAAGATGTTATTTTATTTTGAATAATAGTTATCGACATTGTATTTATATAAACTAATTATAAAAAATAAGTGGATAATTAAGTCAATTCAAAATCCCGGCCGAAAGTTGGAACATTTTAGCAATTTTTATATTTCTACCGCATTCATATTTCTCCCGCAAAATACCAAATTTCCCCCGCAATTTGAAAATTTTGACCTGGCAACCCTGCTTAGGACTGAGATTGGCATTAACTATTGCCCTCGTTTCTTTCATATCTTCCTGGAATACACAAGATCTCCCAAATCATCTCAATTGATAAGGATAGTTTGATGGACAAAGCCTTAAATTGTGGGATATTGATACCTTGCCAGAAGACCTTAAACAATTTCATCAAATAAAAAGATAGGAATCTAGGATTGGTATTTGTTCCTTCGCTTACCTTCCTAATATAGTTTCTATTATCCTCATGTATGTTATTTCAATATCAATAATGTTAAATTTCGATTCACTCCTGGCTTCATATAACTCTTTTTTGAAAATCTGAAGGCTTAGGACTGAGATCTGCATTAACTAATGCCCTCGTTTTATTATCTTCTACAATATCCGTAAAACACATTATGTCTCAAATCATTTCGATTAATGATAATTTGATAGGCGAAGCCTTAAATTGCGGGAGCATCATTACCTTACCAAATACACCTTAACAATATTTATCAAAACAGGAAGACTGAAATCTAGGATTGGCATTTTGTTCCTTCGCTTATCTCAACTTAAGAGATAATCACCAATACAAATCCTTCCTCAGGACGCTTAATATCAACAACTCCGGCCATAAATGGCTTGATTCCTACCCCAGTATTATAAATTCGTTATGCAATCAGTTTGATCCTGGATACCATTTTTAAACCAATACACTTGCAACAAATATAATCAGGTCGCAGACTGATGTCATGTGCTCCATTATAAATTCATATCAAAAATTAAACGAAAAAATTAGTACACGTATTGCTAAATTTTTCAGTAAGGCAAAATCTTGAGCATTCTTGAATCCACCTCCAGCATAAATGAAAACGCCCTGACGACAAAACTATTATCACATTTGTATCAGGCAAACCCTTGGTCTGCGATTTTACTCGCATAAACCCCTATTTCCCTTCTAATAATATACATGACCCTCTTATCAGAGCTTAGTCATTCAAATGGCAAGAATATTCTTACCTGATGTGTGATAACCACTTCGTTCCAATCGTATATTTATAATCCTGCTCATTCGGGTAAGCCGCTTTGAATCTTTTCAAAGCTGTTAAGAAATCCGTAAGAAAAAAATAATATATCTCTCCTATTTATAAACTAAACCAAAACATTGTTATCATAATAATTCAGTCCAATTATTTAATGTTTAAAAATTTTTGGTCAGAATCATTTATTTAACATTCTCCTTGTAAAAATTTAAATATAATATTTTTTTTTTCAAAATATTTTTCTTGTGTTATTTTAATATAATTTTATATATAAAAGTTTAATATATAAAAAATGTATTAAGTTTAACAAGGGATTGGTAGTTATTAACTATGCGAGAGAAAATTGGGAACCGGCTATTTTTTTATATTTTTGGGTTCACTTTATTTTTTCCTTCATTTTACTTGTGATTTTTTTTTTTACACTTTGAGAATTTGAAACAAAAAATAAAGGAAAAAAAATAATTTTATCATTCTAATTTTTCTCTATTTATAATTGAAAAAAATAAATAAATAATATATATATCCATTATTAAAAAATAAGAATCATGCAATATATTTTTATGCGATAATATATTTATAATAAAAACTTATAAATAAACAACATATTAATCTATAATGCACTAAATATATCTACACCTTGATCGTGATAATAAAAAAAACTACAAAATGATTTTTTAAAATATATATGGAGAATCAATAAAAAATATTGAAACCTAAAATTCTAAAAAATGTGGAGACCTAAGGATTACTAAGTAGAAATAACTGAAAATCTATATGATATGAATCTATTTTTAAATCTGATTTTGGCTAGAGACAGAAAATCTGAGATCTACAGGCTGGATATATTGAATCCTAAAAATACAAATCTATATAATTGATTTAATATAAATACCTTTAATAAAATTTTGCAAAACGTCGAATGTGTGAATGATGGGAATTTAGGAAATAAATTTGTGAATTGCATTCAATTTACCACAAAAGTCATTCCATGTTTGGTACCATTATTCTTGGAACTATCATTGATTTTGGAGTTTGACGCGTCTAATGTGGGATTAGGGACGATTTTGGAATGGAAAAGTTATATATATATATATTTGTACAGGAGAAAATTATTATTTTTTGAATATACTCCAATTCATTGGAGAAACTATTAAGAAATAGTGAAGATTAGACAAAAATTGTGAATAAACTACTATCAAGATGTACCTGAAAATTGGCTAATCTTATATAGATATTATGAGAACATGTTAGCATATGCACTATATCGACTACCTACGAAGGTAACGGAAACGAATAATTAAGCATAGCACATTTGCGAAATACAAGTTATTAACATGGACAATATAGATATGATGGAGAAATGGCTGAAAGAATGCATTACAGAACTTAAATCGTTTGCAAGAAAACGAGATAAGCTATCATTAAATAACAGTTTGATAGGACGGGATGCTTTTCGTAAAATCTTTTATAAACATCTCCATAGGGGCCATCCAGGATTGAGACGGTAAAGTTAATACGACTTATTCATGCTGAATTGTTAGAGTTAATCACTATCGCGATATATTAGAAATTGCAATAAAGCGGTTATACTTTAAGTATATTTATGATCCATAGGAGGGGTTGCATATCGATTTTTAAAAACTAATTTATTTTTGAAAATCATAATATAAGGAAAAAAAAGAGATATATTTTTCAAAAAATATAACTAGTTACAATTATTTGTTACATATTTTGAATTGTAACGTAACTATTTCGTAAAATATAATTAGTAACAGATGTTTAAACAACACTACTTTACATATATAAGATAATTTGTGAAACACCTTATTTTTATCAATTAAAATATATGAATTGATTAGTTATGATAATTTATATCAAATTTTGCAATATAAATAATTAAACATAATTTTATGCTTTGCCATATTTATTTTCATAATTCTCGAAATAATATATTTTTCTACATAAATAAATTGTTAAAATATTTACCGAGTTCAGTTAACTAAACATATTGTATTTTTTACCGGAAAATCATTCGAAAACCACTGAAAATTATGTCAATGTAAGTTTAAATGAAATGCAATAATTATAATATATATTTTACAAAAAATATAGAGAAGATGATAATCGAATAGGAAACGACATTAATAATGTTGAAAATATTCCTGATGAAGATATTGAAGTAAACTTAAAACTTAATACATTCGTATAAAAATTATTATAAAGACAAATTACTATGAAATCATTGACAGCTTTGATAATATGAATTTAAAAGAATCACTTTGCCGTGGTATATATAATTATGGTTTTGAAAAACCATCCTCTATTCAACAACGTGGCATAAAACCTATAATAGAGGGTTATAAAATATTAGTTTTCTCTAATTAATAATATTTATAGGCTATGATGTCATTGCACAAGCACATTCAGGTACAGGTAAAACTGCAACCTTTGCCATAGGAATATTACAAAAGGTAGATACAAACGTTAGAACCTGCCAAGCTCTTGTAGTAGTTCCAACAAGGGAATTAGCTCATCAAGTAATATTAATGAGATAAAAATAATTAATCATATAAAATTAGATACATAAAGTTTTTATGGCAATTGGAGATTATTTAAATGTACAATGTCATGTTTGTATTGGTGGCACAAATGTTGGAGCTGATATGGCAAGATTAGAAGAAGCCCAAATTGTGGTTGGAACTCCAGGAAGAGTTTTAGATATGTTGAAGCGGAATGCACTAAGTTAGATATTATTTTAATATATAAAATTTTAATTGCTATAATTAAAAAAATATTTTGAGATTAATAATAAATCATCTGATAAATTTATAACTAAAAAATTAAGAACCTTCTGGAATCAATATGTTTGTATTAGATGAATCTGATGAAATGCTCTCAAGGGGGTTTAAGGATATGATTAGAGACATGATTGAATGTCTTAGACCGGATACTCAGGTACTCTTATAAATACAATTTTTTAAATTGAATTTTACCATTTAATTTTTAATTATCAATATCATTTTTTTATGGAATTGATTTGATCATTAATCTAAGGGCTGTGTATAGGTGCTACTTAAATGCAAATAAGAATAATGATATTGGCAATATTTTTGATGCATAAATAAAAACTTGATATATACCTCCTTGATTGCAATTATAAATAATGATTTTTGAGATGTCAAATATAAAAAAATGCCAAAGTGGGTAAATATAAAAAATGATATATACTTAATTTAAAAGTGAATATATAAAAAAATGATAAAATCATGGCTTAAAAAATAGACAACTGATATTATTTTAATAAAAATATATGATTTTTTATTTATATTTTAAAAATTTATATATTCTATTTTTTACAAATAAAGATAAAAAATTGTCCATTTAATAGATTATGTTCAGAAAGATTATACAACATCCAGCTTATAGTATTTTCAGAAAATTTATTTTTATACATTAATAAAAAAAAGATATATTTCAAAAAAGTGATTCCATTCATTTAATATTATAATTTCTTTTTTAAACTTTATTTGGCTTTAATATAAATAAAAAAATTAGAATTTAAAAATTGTTCTAGTAAATTTAATATAAAAATAATATCACAAAAGATAAAATTATTTAAAATATAATAATTAATGATATGAATGAATATTAATTTCATACATAAAATAATATAATTTATAGTATCTTCATTATTTATCATTGGATTTTTTTTTGTTTTAATGCTTGCCTAACTTAAATATAAATGAGATAAAATCAAGTAAACATGTAATTTAAATTATTTTATTCAATATATTCATTTAATAAACAAAAACATTTAATAATAATAATTTTGTAAATAAAAATATATTTAACCAATAAATCTTACAAGGTTTTTTTAAAATTTGACATTTAAACTGACCAGCACACAGATATCACAAATTATAAATGCATCATCTAAAAAAGTTAATTTCTGACAAATTCAAGACTCCACCATAATATTATCTTATAAATCTTGAACTTGCACCCATGCATCACTAGTCTCATGATATTATTATTTAGACATTGCATATCACTTGTAATAGTAAGAATGTCATAAATATTAATGATTAAATTATAAATTTAATATTGTAGCCAGTTTACAAATTTTACTTATAGCTCATCTAGCCTTGTGTTCTTTGGATCAGAGACCTTCATGGGCCTTAAAGGCTGGCCCAGACTTGGCATAAAAAATTTTAAGCCCAGCCTGGCCCATATTTAATATTTAAAAAAATTCTCACACAATAAGCTTTAAAAAATTTTCTCAAGCCCATCAAATTATTTTATGTATACTTATAATGAGGTACTAAATGGAAATATATTTTATTTAGTAATTATACATAATATTAATAAAAATGATATAAACAAAATTTTAATATATATTATCTTTCATCATTTAAATTTCCTTCTCTCTTTGATAATCCTTCCAATACAGCTGAAATTGTGCTCATTGGAAATATTTGATGCTGGAATTGCTTGAATTTTTTTTGTTTAAACTTGCTAATTTTGGCCAATTTTTTTCGTGCTTCTTCCACCATTCTAAGATATGATCATCATAATTATATCCCCCTTAAGCTTAATATCCAAATATAAATTAACCTCATCAAAATCATTAAACATGTATCATCCTCACATGAAGACATCTATTAATGAGGATGACACTAAAAATATTATATAGCTAAAAAGATTTATCAAAAATAAATTACTGGTAGCTCTGGTAATCTCCAAGTAGGAACATGCTCTTCATCAAGATCTGAAGGTAGTTAAAAACATTTATAAAAAATAAGTTACTTATAGCTCTGATAGAATTCTTCACCCAGATCATATAAGGGAATAGGCTGATATTCTGAATCATCTTTCATTATGGCTCTGAGATAATTTTTCACTTCTAATGCTTCTTCCAAAGTAAGCAGTCATAATTGGTGGTGGACTTAAAAATATTGCAATTATATGGAGAATATCTAATTGGAATTTAGATATTAAGTTTTTGGCTCTTAATTTTATTTTTTATATGCATCTTATAAAATACTAGTAAATTTGCCAATGTTTTATAGATTAATACAACTTTGGATAAAATAGGCCCTGTATCTCCCTCCAGCTCTTTGGTTACCTGATCATAAGGGGTACCAAAGATTTCAATTTATTTTTATCAATAGAATTTAGCTTATACTTATTTTTTTCTGTAAAGAATCTAAATTTCTTCATTTTGTTCATATATATTTTTGAGCATTTTTATCCACTTTGTTTCTATCTTGGTAAAGTGATTCTTATTATATCCACTTTGCCTAAAAGATCTGGTTAGTTATTTACATAAAAAATGAGGTTATATGATAAGGGTGTGAATGTTGGTAGTTTGTAGAATAGTGCTAATTGATGAGAACAGTTTAACTCTATATATGGTTCTAAAGTATTTACCCCTTGATCAGTGATGAATGTGATTTTATAAAATGCACCAGAATGATATAAAGTTTAGTTTAGAAACAAGTTCTTTGTGAATTTTCACTTGTTTTTTTATCTTCAAGAGAGGTTTACAAAATACGTTTTATTTATTTCCATTTAGCTATATAGTGAAGAGTTAATGTTATATATATGTATACTTCTGTGTATAAATCAGTTGTTGCATTACAAAAAAAATTATTAAAGCATTTTATATTTCTGGTTATATATTTTTATGCAAATTTTGAGAAATACCATTCATATGCCTTGATACAGTTATAGGACTTAACAAAATATTTTCTATCATTCAAACCCCTCTTTGAATCAACTTCAATAAAATATTGTACTAAGTTTAAAAACAGTTATATAACCACACAGAATTCTACACATCTATTGTTAACTTCCTTTTTTCATTTGTATATGATGCTTTATCATATTTAATTGAATAAAAAGGAAATAATTTAATTATAGGATTTGGTTTACATTTAAGCCTTAATAAATGGGATGACCCTACTTTATATGAATATGAAAGTATATCTTGACATACATTGGACATATTCAATTTAATTATTATAATTGTCTATTATTATACTGAAAGTATCCCAGACTTTGCTCTTCAATAAGTTGTTTTCAAATAATTTATATTCTCGAGAATGTAATTTTTAACTACTTTATTTTTATTCATTATACCTAAAAAAATTAAAAATATTACCATTTATTTTAAAGGAAAAGGTAAGTAAAGTTGTAGTGAACTAATAAAAGAAGCCAGAACTATCAAAACCCTAAAGGATTGCCCAAAATGCAGATTTATTTGGTGCAAATTTATTGGCAAAAATGAGAAGAAATTCATAATGAATTTTGGCAATATGAATGCAAATTTCTATGATTTAAATATAAGTTATACTACTATATTAAAGGTCAAAGCTGTTCTTCAAAATGAATCTATTCATATAATATAGCTATCATTATCATTTAATATTACCCCTATTTAAAAAACAAAAAATCAATTAGTTCACAAAAAGAGCAAGTTATGCTACATATTAACAATTTTCCTAGCCTTTAATCTCATTACTGTAATTTACAATGGGAATATATAGAAATTTAATTTACAAATGATGTATGATCTATATTTTGATTATTGTAAAGATCATTCTAGATCTTTTTAAATATTATCATTATAGACTGTTGTAATCATGATTATATGAGAGAAAGATATGGTGATTGATGTTATATGTATTTTTGATAAATTAATAACCTTTTTTATCATTGTTTTAAAAGAGACAAAAAGAAAAAAAAGGCAATAATGTAATAAATATTATTTTTATAGAAAAGTTTTTGATATAATTGTAAAATTGAAGAAAAGAATGATTTTTTATATGAAAGTTTTGGATATAATTTTAAATAGAATAAAATAATTTGGATATAAGTGTAAATTGAATAAAATAATAATTTTTTTATACGAAAAATTATCATTTTGGAATTCTGCTAGCGTTTTATTCTAAGAAATTACTATATAGACATTTATTTAATTTCTATTAATAAAAAGTTACAGTCTGATTTAGTTACATAAGAATGAAATAAACGATATTTTAATAAAAAATATAGTATTTTACAGGGATGTGAACTATTCAACAAAAAAAGGGTCCGTGTTTGGGTACAGTAATAAAATTTAAAAAGGGTTTGGGTTCAGAGTTAGAGTCCAGGTTCAGTGAACATAAAAAAATTGACTAAAATAAAAAACTTTGAAAATGAAATAAAGATATTTTAAATGTTTTATTCAATCGCACAATCATAATATCTTATAAATTATCATTCTTGAGACTTCAATATAAATAAGGCAATATATATTTCAAAGATGAAAATCCACATTTTCTAACCTAAAATAGATAGTTATCTTTATAATACATAAATTATTTTATTTGTGTTGCTCTTACAGCCATGATGATTCTAAACAAGATATATAATTCTGGATATATTGAAAAATTTTCTTCCCAGAATTTTAAAATATTTGTATCCTTATTTTTTTTTTAACTTCTGAGACCTTTCCTATTAAAGATGCAATAGGCATTTTTTGATACTCCTTTCTATCTGATGATAATTTGATTTTTTTCTCTATCTTAAAGTAAAATTTCAAGATTATCATTACTATCACTACAACCAGTAGATATTATTGGAGGCGAAATAATGGAATTTTGTGTATGCCATAAATCCTTAAGATGGTTTTTAGCAGGGATTTAAACCCGGACCCTGAACCCTCCTTGGACCCTTTTAAAAAGTGGAGGGTTCAAGGGTTTAGGGTGCTAAAAATTTTTAACTTAAAATTATTTTTTTTAAATTAATGTAAAAATATAATTTTTTAAAAATTATAAAAATTTTATATTATTTTTTTAAATATTAATTTTTTAAAAATTATAAAAATTTTATATTATTTTTTTAAATATTAATTTTTAAAAAATAATGTAAAATTTTTATAATATTTTTCGTGGAATCTCCCTAAAAAATAG